AGTTATAGACAATCTTGGGTTTTCATCAAAAATAAAATTAATGTTTTAAAAAAAAGTGTAGTATTTACTATGTGTTAAACTTTAAATATAATTCATAACCTGTATTCAAAATTAAACTAGTTACATTTAGTTATTATTTATAAATTAGTCAAAGTAATTCTCGGGCTCTCGGTGAATTCAAGTATACAATTGTCAAATTATTTTTAAAATTGAAATAAAATATTTGAAGTAAATAGATGAGTTATCTATATTTATATATTTTTAACGTATTTAATACGAAACAAAAGTATTATCTGTGACTAATTAAATGGCATCAAAAATCATGTTTTTAATTATGCTGCATTACTGAGCTGTGAGTATACAGGTTATACAATTACAATCTAGTAATATTTGTTCAATTAACTCAAGCAAATATATGAATCAAAAGTTAAAATATGTGCCAATAAAATAGCTTAGTCAGGTATAGTGATCTTAATATTTAACTCAAATAAGTGTTAAAATATAATTGCTATTGTGATCAAGATAAAAAGGTGCATCGTATAAAATAATAATTAATATGTGTTATTATACACCACCACGGTTTTCACACTTCCCACTCATTTATGTCTATTAATATCGAATAATAAAATAGTTGCATGTATATCTTATATATCTATCATATTTGTATCGATCATCATGACAAGTGTAATAAAAATCATAAATGAAACACACCTATTTTTTCGTAGGTATAATATGCACGTAACACGTGAATATTAATACATTTTTTTAAAACCATTTGTATCGCTGGTTTAGTGTAATATGTTCAATACACGTAGGTACATTAAAAAAAAAAAATCATGTAAAAACGAACGTATTTGCATAAACCATTGACACGATTTGATAATGATCATTTCTTAGGTATAAAAATAGAATAGTATAGGTACGAAATAGTTACTGTTCTCATTAAATAGCGGGTTACTCGTTTTAAAATCTTAATCATATTGCTTCCCCGCATAGATGGCATACAAATGATAAATACTTTTAACACTAAACCCTAATGAGTAACTAAGTAATCATTAATTAGTTACGAGAATTAGGATAAAACCTACATCAAAAAGAATTTTATTTGTCTGTACAATGATAATTGTATTTTTATGGAATAATGGAATACAATAATAATTATGATCGAACTATATATAGTGCCTCTTCTGCAAACGTCAAACCATTTATGTCTTAGTAACATAATATTCGCCCTTCACTCATTTACGTGTACACTCTACACACCATTGGACTTCGATGGTAACATGTAACTGGGATAGATCGTACAAATCGTTTCATGGTAGTGTGGTACACATACGATTATTATTGAGTTATACAATACGCACTGTATGAATATGGCATTACCATTTATCAATAAAATGATATCTAGCCATTTATGGAAACACGTTTTTCCTAGTCCAGGTAAATAATTGTTAATCTATACATAATTTGTAAAGATAATTATCTAGTTCGTTGTTAATTTCCCAATCTTGAGATATTTATAAGATAATTTAGCAATAAGTAATAAGTAATTACACTTACGTTGATTAAAGACTAAATCATTTTCCTAGATTTTAAGTATAATATTGAGTATTTGAGTATTTTTAGTATGTATATATTAAATATTAAAATAAAACATTTTTACTATTAACCTATGTTCAAAATTGATGATTTTACAAAACAATGACTTTTTTGGATTGGAATTGATGTAAATTGTTTTTTTAATCACGAATACCCAAAAGTTGAATACAATAGGTAATAGGTTGTATATATATTTTTTTTATTGTAAGAAAAAAAGACCCTGGGCTGCGTGGGTCATTGGGTTTACAGAAGTTATGGTTATTAATTGCCTATACTTATTCTAATTATACATTTATTACATTTTTATATTTTGTTTTGAAGATTGGCTGCTGTGATGCATTGGATGATGTTGGCAATGAATTGAGGGTGATTGTTTAGGTTGGATATTATATTATTGCAAACTTAATATTTTAATATACCGAATTTATAGTTTCGATTTTTGAGTATTTCTTTGACTTACATAATTCATTTCATTATAAAAATCTTTGACCATTAATTACTTTTGTGGAGCTTATAAGAACCATAATATGAATGATATAACTGTAAAAGTGAATTTAGGTCCATACAGAACCGTTTTTTTTAATGAAATCAATTGCACCTATATACTCCTAATATTTCTGGCTTAGTTCAATGAGATTTTTTTCTTATAGTTTCAAACAAAAGATTTTTACGCAGTAAAATAAAATAGGTAATGACATTTTCTGAATGACTGGAAAAAAATGTTTGAAACATTAATATTAATTTACTCTAAAATGTATAATATAGTCTATTATTGTATGGCACTAATATGAATAATCAAATATTTTTCATTGCCCTTCCGCCGATAAAAGTTTTGAGGACGCCCTTGAACGCACGATCTCTGCAGTATTTTGATAGGCTTTTTGCATAGATATTTACACCACGCATATTATAGAGCAAAGAAAATATTTTTAGTTTTATACTAAACAATTTGTTTTCTGGTAACCTATATGACCTACAATCACTTACATTTTAGTCTAATGTACAATATAATATTATCTACCTTATATTATGAAAAACAATCACAGGGAAGATGAAAAAAAGGCTTAGTGGCGAGGCCAAAGGTAAATTATTGGGTCCACCATAATGTTTGTAGTTTGTACATTATGAAAGCGGTAATTTGAGTCCTGGCAAAATATACTATATATATTAAGTCAATAACCCGATTCACGTTTGTTAAATACTCATCATTGAAGTTTTTACCGAGAAAATACTATTATAAAATAATATATTTAAATTAAATTATAATAATAGAAATTAAATTAATTTTTTAATTTATGCAATTTATACAGAGAACTTAATATTTTTAATTTATACTATAAATATATACAATTTGACTTCTAATACAGATGATTATTATTTATTTTATATTTTAAAAATTGAGATGAACGGACCTATACTAACATTTTTTCCGGGACTCAACTTACCTATTACCTTTTTTCCCTGTGATCCACTTTACCGAGTTAAGGTCATTTGGAACCCAATTTACCAATCCCGGCAGTGGCGTTCATAGAAATTTCCGTTTTTTTTTAGGGGGGAGGGAGGAATGAATTAAATAATATTTATAAAATATATACAACAAGAAGTCCTGAATGATTCAATTATGATAGCTATTTGTTAGCGGCTTAAAATTTTCAGTCTATATTTCTATTATAATCTAAGGCATACAATAAGAAAGGATTATGAATAATTTTGATTTTAAAAAGGTTGGCAAACAGAAATTTTAAGTTTGACGGTGGAAATTGAAACTTGTTTTGCTTATAAATGATTACCATTGGTTGTACAGATATATAGTAATAGAAGAGACTATTTTTGTTTTTTTGGATCATAAATGGTTAGTAATTAATGTGTATACCTATGAAATGGTCAGTTTTTTGTATACTTACCTGTTTCAAATTTTAGTGTCTAACAAATTTCTACTACAGTACTATCGGTAAAAATAATATGCGCAGTGTGAAGTGTACAAAATAGAGTATAAGAAAATTTGAGGCTGATTTATTTTGATTGCGTGATTAGATGTAGCGTGGCGTTAAAAATATTTTAGAATGTCTATTTAAGCGATTATCGTAAGCAACCTGTTGATACCTCAAATAGTTGTTTCTATTATCATAGGCCGGATTAATTTAAAACAACAAACTTGGTGTAACTCTGAAACTTTAGAGTTAGAAATTATACACTTACGTAAGCACCTCGTGGGGTCCGCAACCCACCTGTGGTTTCACGGGCAACGCCGGGCGGATGGCTATATAAATTATAAAATATGATTTACACTTAAAAAGACATTGATCCCACAGCGAGTTACTCCCAAAATGAGTTGAACAATCACAATTTTTTCCTGGTAATTCAATTAGTAGCATAATATCAGGCATATCATACATGTTTTATAAAAAACATTTTCACATTTTTATACAGTGAAAAACGAAGTATTAAGATGGGGGTGAAGGTTGAACATCAGAACCACTCCAGTGTGTTATATGTTATTGCTGTGAAGTCTTGAAAAAAATCGTAAAGGATCATTACCGATTTTCCGTAGGTTTTTTTCGTTTTAACATATAGGTACACAAATACGCAATGATGTATTATCACACGAAATACGAGTAATAATAAACAATGTGACATGTCGCATGTCGCATGTGTTATATTTAACCCTAATAATGTATTTATAACTGCTTGATAAAATTAAATTCTATAAATATTATTATAAAGGACCTTAAAATATTCTATTTGTTTAGTGTGGCGACCAGTCTGCACTGGGAGTGGTTTTTATAATCGCGTATTGGTATACATACATATACCTACTGCTGCGATGTATACCTACACGATGTATAGATTATAGAGGGTGACTTTTTGGTGAGACGGCTGTGGCAGCAATATTGTTCCGAGTCGGCCACTTGGAATGTAGTGGGATTCGTCGCCTGATAAGAGAACAGTATACAATATAGCAATATATAGCACTATACAATATACATATAAGTGTATATATTTGTGTGTGTGTATGTGTGTGTGTGTGTGTGTGTGTGTGTGTGTGTGTGTGTGTAGAAATTATAGGTATATAAAAAAATAATATATAGTATTATTATATATATAGGCTCGTATAACCACCTCCGGACTGACGTAGTGAGCCCCGTAGGAGTAGGCTTGCGAAGGACGACGATCGCGTAATCCGCTCCGCCGACGTTTCCAGACACACCGGTTAGTGTCCATAGTGCTTCACCAGACGGCGGTCATACACCGCGCGAATATTTACTAATATTTTAACATAATTCATCATTCAAACGCTATAAAAAAATTTTTTTTTAAATTATTATTTATTCATTTATTTTGATACTTACTGAACGAACCGAATATCCGATCCCTGCGAGACAGGTAGTTAGAATTACTGCACGATCCTATTATGCCGCTTTAACTTAACCATATTATATTATTTAATATTAGTTTGTGTTTTTTTTTATTATTAACATGTTATAACATAATGATTAAACTGTGATTTATAACCATTGGATTTTCAATTAACGACATGGACTTATATTTAATTGTTGTTAAACGTGCTTCTTCATACAAATTAATAGATAAAACCTATTAACATATTGGAGCTTATATTAAAAAAGGTATTATTATATAATTATTATTATTATTATTATTATTTCATTGTTGGTTTATACATTAAGTTATGTATTATAATTAATAATTACTATGTGAATAGATAATATAATTCTCTATTCTCAGTTGATCTGAATCAATGTATTCTTTTTATTCAAACAAATAATATAACATTTACATTGTACAAAATTATGCGGTCTTGACAAAATTTTTAAGTGCAAACAACAGATAACTAAATGAGTCATTTACTTTATACATAATCGCTAACATCGTCGTATAACTAGTTGCAGCTTATGCTAAAGTGCCATGGACATTTCTCATTTTTTTTCGGAAGATTTATACGTTGAGGATCAATGCCCATATACATATGACATATTACATGTCCATGGCACGATAATCTTATAAGGATAATCTATAATAACATTTAGGTTCGTCCCGTCCTTTTTATATGATTACTGTAAATCACATCATGCTATCCTAAAAATATCTGTACGTTTTAAAGAAGTAACAAAAAAACAGTAAAATATAATCTCGGCTGTATCACTATCAAAAGAACATTGCATATTGTACGATGTGTTGTGTTATAAATAATAATATTACTGTGTCATTAATTTGCAATAATTATTTTATGCAGAAGTAATTTTAATTTATACAAATTGTACATTATGTTTACACACATCGTTTGACTATCACGGTATAAGTAATCGTAACGCCAATTACACATTTTTAATATTGGTTATTAACTTTTAAAATCTTATCATGAAAAAGTTTAAATACGTGCAGATAAGTATACGAAATAAACGATACTACTAGAGGTTAAAAACTATATAGTAAAAATACTTTATTAGCTGATTAATAATACGTATTATACGGGTGTAATAATTTCTACAGTCTACACGTCTACATAATGAGTCACTCATAGATATTATAGAGATCTGTGTTTTGTAGCTCATTTGATGATGCATGCATATAGGTACTGTATAGGTATATTTTCGGAGTTTATAGTTTGTGTAGCGTGGCGGCAGTGTTCATAAATTTGAATAAAAAATGAGATATCGTTTCATGGAATGCAACGGGTGAATAATGCAACCAGTTTTGGTTTTTTGTCGCACTAAGGCTATACGTATAATATAATAAGCTGATCTGGCTACGAGCGATATATACACCGATACACGGATCTAAGCATACTGTTGTTACCTGTCTTTTGAATAAATATAATGTTGTTACTGCAATACGAGATTATAAATTGTATTTATTTTAATTCATCACATTCAAACACAAAATAATAAAATTTTATGTTATTGCTTCCTCGGCTCTACAGTGTAATTTAATAAGGTTTTAAACTAAACAATATGAAGTAAAACTTTCTGTGAATTTAGATGTATTTTATCGTAGTATGTGACTTTTAAGAGAACGTGTTATTCGTCAAGTTATGTTAGTCTATTAAGCTGAACAATAATTTACAAACATTTTGGCATTATTATGGCACCCATTGGTCTTTTAAAGAAGCATTATATAATTACTTCTATCACCATTAATACATAAAATATTTTTATAGTTCTGGATTCAATTTCTTTCAAAAGTTGTATTAATAAAATAAATTAAATACATTTTATTTTCATAAAATGTAATTTGTTTTATCTTAAAATCACAATAAATTATATTAAATAAAAAACTGCTGGCTAATTAACAATTTTGAGACCTCACTGATCTCGTTCTCGAAATTAAATTATCTAGGATAACAGTATACCGTATTACATTTTACGAGTTCATTGATATTAATATTATCGTTACATAGTCCTTGAGAAAACTAAAATGTTATGGTAAATAAATGTGTAGGTAAACAAATTAATAAACAAACACTCATACAACTAATGTATACAAAATTTTTTTTTTAATATAGAATATCAATCTATACTAGTTAAGCCAACATTTTTTAACCACTTTTATCAATCCATCATATCCAACTTATCTTTATAAAGTAAGTGCTAGAATAAATTATTATTATTAAATGTAGGTATACAAATGTACTTTTTTTCTTTTAAAAAGAAACTAAAAAGCAATTTCATTACACTGTGTTATCATGTGTGTCATATCTTTTAGGTTCTTATCAAGTTTAAGTTTCTGTAGATGTAGTCTTAATTATTTTAGTAACATGAAATATATTTTTTTGTTTAAAACCCCCACGAAGTACCTAAACTAGTTTCTCAAAAAAAGATTTACGATCGCCTATCTTAATACATTTAGATTGAATGTTCTTAAAAGATTTTCAAAAAAACATAATTTATACAATTTAATAAAAATCACCAAAGCTATGTACATTTAGCTAGAAATGTGTCTAAACAATCATTGGCATGAATCGATACAGTATTGATCATTTTCAGAACCACTTTCTCTCCATATCCAGACGTATTACTTATTACTTATTATAATAACATGTTAACACAAAAGAACATATTCTCAACTTATATAAATATCTGATCCACCTGAGACGTTACATTAACTACAATTAATTCGTACAAAAATAACGTAAGTCGCATTAGAAAGAATTTTTATGGTATTATCTTCTTGATAAAACTGTTCCTTAAATTTTCTTTTACTACTTTTCAACACTTGAACACAATATTTTAAAATAAATATAATAATACAGTTTTTCTCATTCCACTTCTCAAAGGCAATCTGTTGTAAACTGTTTACCTTGTAGTCAGCTAGGCTAGTTTCTATTATTAATATAATATTGAGTAGGCACAATGATGTTAGTTGCATCATTATGACATAACAGTTTATGATATGCGAAAATCCTATATCACTACCTGTTTAAAAATATCGGCTTAATTGCCGGTCAGTGTTTCTGTGTTTGTATAAAAAAAAATGATATTACCTTTAAAACAATTAGGTACCTAGGTAACTAAAATGTTTGATGAGAATTATTCAAATAGTATCTATATTGCAGCACCAATGAAATACGTTATATACATTGGAATAGGAAAACAATTATTTATACGTAATTAACTGTACAGTCATGGTTTTTTATCAGTCCAGAATTAATTATTGGTAATAAAATAATAGAAATTGATATTAGCCACCGGCATTTAGCCTTAAGTATAAATAATAATAACAATAATGAATACGAATATAGTATAATATGTATGTAATATGTTGGCGCCGATAGTAGATAGCATAAATCAATTGTGTATTGTTTATTGAAATAAAAAATAAATATAAAAACAACTTAATCATTTAAAATTATAACAAATTCTCATACTTAGATATGGTTAACAATGAATGACACAACGAATACTTATTATGTTGGATCAAAGTACCTACATTATTAGAAAGTTATTCAGGATTTTGAGTAAAGAAAATAATATTGTTGATGAATTGTAGCCATATTAATATAATAGTTAAATTGTTGTCTCTATTTATTTTACGTGGGACTTATAAAATAGTTAATATTTGTAGTTCAAAAAAATTCTAATTTTGAGTTAATATGGATAAAGTGGGCTACCATATGTTTTTAAATTTTTGCTTAAAGCTAACACAGAAAAAAGGGAAAACACGATGCTCCAACTTTTGTAAATACGGTTTTTAAAGAGATAATCAGTGATCAAATGAAGGGGGGATACGGGGGGACGGATTCACTCTTCTTTTAATTATTGCTATATTTTATTATAATGTATATACTTAAATTAATCGTTTATAACGTTTTTTCTTAAATATAAATAGTTTAGTGAAAACTAAAAATATTGTTTGCTTTTTCATAAAATTTTAGACATGGTCGTCAATTCTATTTACTTTGCACTCAATATTTTTGAAGTACAGAAATCTAGAATATTATTTATAGTGTGCTGTACTTGATAAACGGAGATAATATATTCTACTAAACTCATAGCTTCTTTTCTTTCAAGGAATAACAGATATAATATTTGAAATGCTTATCGATTTATTTATATAATATAGTAACAATAAAAATAAGGAATGAAAACAACAATTATTTATGAATGCATAATGATTTATATATATATTATTGTTTAGCTGTGTCGTGCTTTATTGTAAATAGACTGACAAATGATTTCAAAATGTAAGCTGTTTTATAGGCACCAAATTAAATCTTTAAATTTAATATTGGCAATTTTAATGTAGAACTTTTCCTTAAGCGTAAGTTAAATGTGTCAACGTGTGGCGTAACATGACGTATTTATTTACTAAATAATGTATTCATAATATGTTCGATGTTTTTATACTCTGTCATAGTTTAAATTTTTTTTGAAATAAAAAAATTATGTTACTATTATACAACTTTTAAAATTAGAAGAATATTTATCGTTGGATACTTATGCCGTTTGATACCATATAAGTAGGTACAAGGTTTGGTACCATTATACTGCTCGCTCATTGATAGTCATCAAATTATAATAAACATTGAATTATATTCATCAATATTCAAAGATTTTTTTTAATTCAATCAAACACCGAGTTTATATTACTTTGGTGATATATTTTGTGGTAAATCAATCTAAATCGGGTTTTTTATGCTGTTTTTATGTCATAAATATTTATTTTAGGTGAGGAAATGTTGTTTGTTCTAAATACGCATACAATGACATTACATATATATAATATTATCTCGCATTGAAATTAAGATAAAAAAACTGACCATAATGCACAATTACGTTTTCGTTAAAATAAAAGATTTTTTTTATTATTTTCACTCTAAATAACTTCTAATCTAGAATCCAAAGTAGTTGGAATTTGTAAATTCGTTATGTCGCGCATAATGGGTTAAGATAGAGAAAATGACGACTCAACTGTATGTGCAATAAATAATGTATTATATAGGTACAATGTTTTATGTTATAGATACTACATTAATGTCAAGAACGCATAATTGTCTCTAAAGTTGAAAACAAAACATGCACTCGGGGGGCTGAGAAATATATTATAGATAGGTCTAGAAAAAGAGGAAAGTTCAAAAGAGGCGTTATATTGCATCGGCGAAACGTGATAATAAATTATTAACCGACGTTGGCGGCAGTATCAAAATGATATTATTATTATCATTATTATTTTACACTGTATTTCACCCGTGAGATTATTCGGGACTTAACGGTTGTGCACCTGTCGTCAGCGTAATAACAATATTTCGTACCTATACCTACGTTATTTTGCCATAGAGCGATATGAAAAATTCTATTCGAGCACAAACTGATCTCGGAGTTCTGACGCAATGTTGTTACTGTTGACGATAGAATTATACATATAGAGTCACGGTTTCACCTATACGGGTCCATGCTGCTGAGCGTACTACCTATGATAATATTATAATGATTTAGGTTTGGGACTTGTTGTACTAAAATTGTTGGTACCGTATACAATGCAAGTTACTAAAAAATAATCTAAAATTATTGGCGAAAACGGGCGAAAACTTTAGGTATATGAAAATATGCTCAATTATGATATCAATAATAATTGTATGTTTATTTATATAATTGTAAATTACAAAAAAGAAATACAAGAAGTTCCAATCCATAATGATCATATTTTCGTTGAAATTTTAAGAAGCATTGTGATTTTTCATTTATTTTTATGTTATAACTTATAATTAGAAAATATTATAGATATGTGGTCTTCCGGCGTGGAGAGGGAGCAATAGACTTGTAGGTGTCGTCTCAAAAAGAAAAAGAAATCAACCTGGTCAAAGTTATGAAAATATTCACAAAATAAGTATTAATAGGAGTAGTAATAATGGAACTATTATATTTTATAAAAATGGTATAACCAAAATAAATACAAACTCTATACCTTTTTTTTTGTTTTTAAATAAGTCGTTTTAAAGTTCAATTTAATAACGAAATTTTCCAATCATGCAGTCTGACCTCTGATGAAATTAGGTGTACCCGATTAGTGCCCTCGATAACACTTTATTTTTGCAATAAAATACAATTTCTCACCATTTTTTGATATTGAATTTTTTAGGTTATAACAATTTGAATTAATATGTCTATTGGCTGGGAGTCCATGTGCAATTAGGAAGATGTTTTTTTCGTCATACGTCTTGTTATCAGATGCTATAATGGTGACATCATTCGTTATTTCGTTATAATGGGTTGCCTATAGTAAATATATACAACGTTAAACAAAATTCTACTTTGAATTCCTTACAGACATGAGAAATAGCTTTTACGACGAGGAATCGTTATTATAATATAATATAATAATATATTCGTATAATATATGATTTTAGATGGATGGCGAATCGTAGACTCATGCATGTAACTAAGTATTGATACTCCACTGGTCACTACTCCGATCATCTAAACTTAAAACGCCTATAAATAATAAGCTATTGATCTATTATTAATTATTATGCATTATTAATTTTATTTTAATTAGGTAACTTTCATATTTTAATTTAAACACCATTCAAGTTTAAAAAACGAAAAAATGAAAATGCCATATTATTAAATCAATTTTTTATTCAATCAAGATTTGGTTGAGTCATAAGTGTACTAAAAAAATCAGATAGTATGTTATATTATTATTATTATTCGAGTTGTACAAATAGAAATTTGCTTACAGAGCTGTTATTGAAATGTCGTGTATACGAATATAAGCACCACGTACTGTGTTATACACACGTGAAACGCTTTTATTTATTAGCCCAATACCATAAGATTTTCCTTAAAGGTACTCTCCCGAAAATAAACAATCGTTAATTTCCGCTTAGCTATATAGGCATAATATTTACTTGCGTGAGTGTAAAAATTACTGACCATATTCAAGCATGGTGGTCTCGTCTACCGTGTAGGTCGAATTTCTTTTTTTTATTACAATTTCTTTTTATTACTATTATTATTATTATTATTAATATTGTTACCACCAAATCTCCAACACCACATGATTTAGTTGTGCCTCTTTTTAGTTTTTTTAGTTTTAACCATCATATTACTGTGACCAACTACATTTCCATACATTTCACACAATTATATACTCGTTACTCATACTATGATAAAACTTATAGGTACTTATCGAGAATTATTCTATTACTGACCGGTTACCATAATTAATTACTGTGACTACAAAAATGTAAATATTTCGGTATTCTTATGATTCAATTTAGCAAAATGCATTAAAATCAAAATTTAAAATTTGCATAAAAGACGAAAAGATATTTAAAAAATATTGAATGGTTTGTCTACTGAAAAGTTCAGACACATTTTTTAATATTGCTACTACAGAAATATTATTCCAATAAGTTTGCAGTTAAAATGTTAAATACCTGCATATTGGTAAAACAGAATTTGTCATGTTGTAAAGTACTTAATAATAAATTATACGCATTCGTAATCACTGGACTCGGTTTACAAAAACAAAATGTATTGCTTCACCGTTTCATGCATATAATTTATAAATATATAATTATTCTATTAACGAACGTAGGTTCACGTCTCACGTGTAGCGATCGCATTAACTCAACATCCTTTTGCACTGCCCCCACACATCCTCTTGTTTCGTTTCCATACAAAACAAATAAACTACATTTCTAATTTTAATGCTCGTATTATTAAAAAGATTATACTCCAGATTATTTATGATTTATGAACCACATGGATGATGGATTATAAAATACTATATTGACACATAATATTTTTATCACATTATTTCTGATTATTGCATCAACAATAATTAGAATAGTATCCGAGCGGTGAGTATCTTTAATAGTCTACTGGGAATTAATTAGACTGACTTAGTTGAAACGTAAAAATATTTGTTTGTATCGAGTATAAAAATACTAGTAATAATAGATAATATTATAATAAGACGTACCGAAGTTGTTACATAATATATTATTTTTCATTTAAAAATCAACTGAATTAATCATAATATTGCCCTATTTTATTTATTGAAAATATAATAATATACAGTATTTTATATAGGTACACTTTATTTCCTGACATCTACCTCATATTTTATAAATAACAACATGTATAGCGTTAAACAAATATTTTTAAACATAACTTAACTTTTTTAACATAATAAGTCAGTCAACAATCTAATAATACATTGTAGATACTTACCACCAAAATAATTATTTATTTATTTTTACCTGTTTCAATAAACTTATTGCATATTTTTTTATTATTTTGAAAATCAATATTTTAAAACAATGTAAACAACAAATGTTAGTTAAATTGTGTTTTAGTTGTAGCTCTAAAATTAAATCTAAAAGTTACAGTATATGTAAACATTTTCAGAAGAATGAATAACGGTCTCAGTTAGCTTAAAAAATTGATGCATGTAGTCATGTAGATCGAAAATTAGTTCGATAAAAATGTCTACTGTTTCTTAAGATATTGAATAATATCAATAATATAGACCTTATCAAAGTGTATTTAAATTGTATCCCTTTGAATTTGTTAGGAATCATTGGAAAACTATAATAATATGTTGTAATGTAAATAAATTGAGGTCTAGGCCACTGCAGCACTCATGTTCTTAGTTAAAAACTACTTCCTTGTAAGGAAATCATCGGAGTCTCAACATATATCGATATTGTTTGGTGCTACAACAGTCCTTTCGTTACTTTATTAACACTGTTTAAACCATCAAGGACAGACTTATTTCTATACGACCAAAGTGCATTAAAATGACCTAGATGGCTTACCATATAGGATGACAATCGCCAAATCTTCGTATGACGTAGGTAATACCTATAATGCGGCTACACAGTTATAGGTGCATAAGGCGATTATTAAATTATTTATTATAGAATATTTATAACAGTATCCTAACCAATAGGAAATGTGATACTTGAATTTAATTATTATTTTTATACCAAACAACCCACTCGATTTTATGGTGTCAAAAAAAAAAAAAAATGTTTATGGCCCTGAAACTCTCTTTTTGCAAACAACCATTCTCCCACATTCATCCGTGCATACTCCGTGTAGGTTGAACATTTCCCAAAATCTTTATTATAGCCGTATACATAATACAGGTGCATTGGGTATCGCATTGTAATTTAGAAAGATAAATTTCTCAACAGCTGTTTAAGACTCGTCAGCCGATAAGAGTTTTATAAAAACAAATATTCAAGTTAGTATGGTAAAAAAAATTTTAAAAATATTAAAAATCAATGGTCAATATTGAGTTTATTTTTGGAATTAAGTTGTCTGAATGCGAGGCTAAATTTTGCTTATTTTAATTCTTGTTGTCCGTTTGTCACTTCTGTCTAAAATACTAAATCAACTATATCGTTTATGGGTAATGGCACTAATTATAATTTACAATACACAAACTCGTTTATATGTAGTGGAATTGCGTGCATGCAGTTTGTAGGTCTGCTTTGCCACCGAACATTATAGTAACCATAAATGGAGTTACGTATCTTATTATACCTAATTTATCGTTACATATCTTATTTCGTAACGTTGAACACATTAATTTAATATTTTTATATAAGCATTTTATCATTAATTGTTTTTTATAATATTATGTATTTTTGATCATAGGCTACAGAATTAAATAATAAATCATCATGGCGACCGAAGTAGGATCGGACTTCGCACATATACAAGATGAGGATATGTTACGGAAAATGGTAATATATTTGAAAAATATAAAATAAGACTTTTCAAAATCTAAGATATTATTGTTTTATTTTTAGTGGCAACAAACCGAGGATTTTGGTAAGAAGAAAGAGATTCGTATGAGAATGTATAAACTTCGAGAACAACGGCTTAAAGAGTTTTATACGACAGGTGAAATGATTCAAACAGAAACAACATCTAAACGCTCATCAACCAGAACGCATACTGAATCTATTACGGATCAAGGATTCATGACTATGAAATCTAAAGAGATCCGGGATTCTGAATCTCCGACAGAAGAATATCAACGACAATCCAATACTAACAAAAATTATTATGTGTCGTCGAAAATTGATGAATCGGATGGTAGTAGAGGAATAGTTGAAATAGAACAGGCCAGCTCTTTAAAGCCAAATGAAGATTATACTCAAAATACATTGCAAACGTCCATGTCTAGCTCTACGTCAACCAAATGGAGATCGTCACAGACTACTATTTCTGTATCAGAAGAAGTTCAAAAGGCTGATGTAAATTTGAATTCCAAATTTATTGTCAACGAACAGAATAACGAAGATAGTCAGTTGACATTTGATACTTCATATAATAATTCAGACAGCTCAAATATTGATAGTAAGGTAATTGAATCAATATCTACTACAAACTTAGAAAATATCAAACGAGATGATAATAATCAATATTCAGATGGTCATCAAAAAGTAATAGAAACTTATACATCCAGCGGTGAACTATTTGAGCCTGTATCAGAAAATAAATCAAATAAAGACGGTACTTTAATAGAAAATACATACATCTCAAATATTTCATCAAACAAGTCCGAAAATGTTGAGGTGGCTACGGATAGTAAAATTATAAACGAACTTCATAAACTGGACTCTTATCTATCCACTCAACAGTCAACTACAGATTCTTCTACCAAGTCAAATTCGATAGTTTCTAATGATGATAAGATAAATAAGAAAGTTGATGATAAAGGTGTTGATACATCAAAAGAATATACCGAAGGTCAATATATCACCACTCATCAACATTCTTACCAGCCACCTAGGATCAGTGTTGATTTGAGTCCATCGCATGATGCTTTTGCTAGGAGCTTACGATCAACACCGGAAAGGTCTAGTCCATCACCTTCCAGAGAACGTACAAGTCCAGAGCGTAGATTTAAATCTGCTAGTCCTGAAAAGTATAGAGCATCACCAGAGAAAGCAGCAAGTCCTTCTAAATCACTTAATTACTCTTCAAGAAGGAGGTTGTCATCCACACATACAAAAGGTTTGTCAAAAAAACGATCAAATACACCCACTCGAGGTGAAAAATATGACTCTTCGGACGATTCTGATTGTTCTGGCGCAACTCATGGCACTTACGATAAGTATAAAAGTTGTGACGCTAAAAAAACCTTATTTAAAGAAGAAAATAAAATTACTTCAACATCGAAGTATGGCCAAAAATCCTCATCTACAAGTCCAGTACGGAGAGAAAAATCTCCTGGATATAGCAGTGAAGGGTCAGTTGGAAAAGAAGTAAGAAAGTCCTCGTCTAAAGTAAAAAATAGCTCTCATGAAAGTAGTCCTGAAAGAAGTGCGTTTAAACCAGTAAATAATTTCAAAACAATTAAAACTCAACAAATTACTCAGGATAATAAAATAAATCACGCAACACAGGAAGATAATGTACACACAAACAATTATGATTCTAAAAATAAAATAAATGAGGAAAAACATTTAATTAAAGTTATAACACCTGAAATTGATAATGATTTAAATGAAAAAAAAAATGAAAATACAGAACAAGCAACAAAAAATACTGAAAACAATATCTTAAATTCAAAAAAAAAATCCAATCAAGAAAAATTTATCACAGAAGAACAAGTGCGTACATCCATTGAACAAGTCGATAGTGAAAAAATAACAACAGATAACATCGAAATAAGCAAATCATCTAGGGAGAAATCACCTTCAAAGAGTGTTAAGAAGGAAAATAAAACAAAACAAGAAGAATTTATTGAAAATGAAAAATCGAAAGTAGCTAAACAGAGCACAATCCCTAATGATGTCATAACAATAAGACCGAAAGAAAAATCTCCAGTAAAAGAAGTTAAACCAGTTACAAAAGATACTAAAACATACACAACCGTTAAGTCTTCGGAAAATATGTCTTACTCTTCTGACATTAAATCTGTTACACCTACTAAAAAAACAATATCAGCAATACCTTCGTCGATACCTTCGCCAATTAAGAAAGTTGTACCTTCAACTTTAGAGAAAACTCCATCCAAAAAAACCCTTATACACAAGGATTCAAAAGATAGTGTATCAAATAAAACTGTTAAAAAAGACCTTTCAAGAGAAAAAATGGATGTTAAAATTACAAGAAGTGATAGTAAGACTTTGATACATAAAAATTCAAAAGAACGTATTACACAAAAAACGGTTATTAAAAAGCCTAGTCAAGAGTTTTTAGTAGACAAAAAAACTACAATATCATCTAGACAAAAAGTTACTACTCCAGACACAAAATCCAATACTCTGGAAACAATAAAAGTTCTCGAGAAGAAAGACTCAAAAAATAAACTTAAACCTTCAATTAGTCCACAGTCTTCACAAAAAAAATTAGGTGTTGTAAAATCAATTGCTGAAACAAAAACAGTTATAGATTCTAAAAAAACCATTGGAAACATAAACTCAAAGAGGATTCATTCGTTGAATGTAACCAAACCTAGAACACATACTTCACCAAAGCCTGATATAAATGAAACACCATCTAAAGTAACAAAACCGTATACCAAACCTATCTCAACCTCATCTTTATCTAAGCCTCAAATCAAAAAAACAACTTATTCCCATTCAAATACAAATACAAAAAAAGAAACTACTAAAAATGAAAAACAAAAATCGAAAGATTTAGAGGATGAATTACCTCCAGAAAATTTCGAAAGTGATACTGACTTAGACGATTCCACCAATAAACCAAAATACATTAAAAAGGTATCATCCAATTCATCAACATCTTCTTCGTCTTCGGAAGATGACGAGGAAGAAAGAGAAGATAAACGAAAAATTCAAGATATTGATAGTATAAGAATTGAAGCTGAAGAAGAATACGGTAAAAAAATGACAAACAAAGATGCATTACTAAATGTTATTGTTCAATTACCTCCATCGTCTAGAGAATCATCACCCGAGTATTCTACTAGATTTGGCCAGCCATACTGTTCAGTATCAGATGATGCAAGTTTGCCTAGATATGCTGATGTTGTAAGTGAACCAGAAGATGCCAATGATTACAGTTTACACTGTAATAGATATGATGTTGTAACAGATTTAGATGAAGAAAGTAGCGTTACAGTTGCTGACAGAGTTTCAAAGTTCTTAAACAATGTCAACAAGCAAGAAGAAATACAAAAAACCGAAATACCCCAGAGTCCTCAAGCAGTAAGAAAAACCAAACAAATATTTGAATCCATTGCAAAAGGGAAAATCGAAGAGACCGATATAAATGATGTAATCAAATCAGAAACAATTGATATTGAAACTAAAGAAGTTCATGATTTGTCAAAAGTAAATAATACGCCATCTTCTCTTTTGACAAGAAAAATTTCTGGAGCATCTGACTATCAAACTCGAAAAGACTTCTTTGAGAATAAAAAATCGAAAGACGTATCCGAAAAAGTTACACATTTAACCCCTACTAAAATAACAAGATCATCATCGATAAAGGACAGGCGTGCATCGTTCGAAACAAAGATTGATCAAAAAACCCCGTTGAAAGACAAAACCAATGTACCGAGAACAAAATCACCAGAGGCTAAAAGTAGCTCTCCTGACCGAACCACCAAAACTCCGATAAAAATAAGCAAGACGGAAACAGTCGACGTTAAAGTTGAAGAAATAAATAGATCTAGAAGACTGTCGGGATCAAAAACTGTGAAAGATAGAACGGCTACTTTTGAAAAGAATGAACCCACTCAAAAATCTTACAAGGAAAATAAAACTACTTTTAAACACCAAGTGCCAAGCACACCTTTAAATACAAGTAAAATTTCAGAAACACGTATTAAATCAGCCACGGTGGCTGACACAAAAACTGTGGATCGAGTCTTAACTAAAAGAGTTAGAAGTCCAGAAAAACTTTCAGCTACCGATTCAGTAATTAAAACCAACGAGAGTACTATCAGAAAAGCATCATCAAAAAGTCCCGATAGAAAAATGACGGAAACTCCAAAAAGAAGTATCACGACTAAAAGCCCTGATAGACAAATCACAGAAACTCCAAAAAGAAATAGCATAACTAAAAGCCCTGATAGAAAAATTGCGGAAACTCCAAAAAGAAATAGCACTGCTAAAAGCCCTGAGAGAAGTGTATCCATCAATACAAGATATGACACTAGTGGAAATCAAAGTGCACGAGATACAATTTCATCATCATCCAGACAGCGAGCCACTATCACTACGGCTAAAACTGAATTTGGAGTAACAGTGAAAAGTACATCAACGCCAAAAACTACAATAACAACAACAACAACAACAACTAAATCGATTCCTATAAATAACGCTGATGACGAAGTGCAAATCGAAGAAATATTTGATTTACTCATTTTAGAAACTATGGTAAATATATTCTTCATTATTATTAAATTTACATTGTCAAACTTAAGTTACCTAAATACAATGTAAAAATTGTAAAATGTGACGATTACAAATAATTTATATTATAGTTAATCTTTAGACACTATATATAACAAAAATAACCATTTTCTTAATATTAGAAGGTAACAATTTTGATCCGTCTCTTATAGAAAATAAAAATAAATTGTGAACACGAGTACACAAATCGTATTTTATAACAATGATAAGATATAAAATAATACTTAATTAGTGGCATCCGTAAAGGTTCATAATATATTATAACTTATAAGGATCATATTTTGGTGTACAAAACTTTACTCTCCCGTGGTCTTGTTGCCTATGCTCAACGCCGTTAAACCATTGCTAATTTTAAAATTGGGTTAGTTGTGTACCGTAAATTATTTCAAATATAAAATATATTTTAATTTAATACCAATAATTAAATACATTTTGTTTATTTTTAAACTTGATTCAATTCAATAAACAAGGAATATATTTTTGCAACTTTGCATATTTCGCATATTTTTAGTGTATAAATGCATCATGCTTATGGCTTATCTCATACTTTTTTATAACATATAATTTTCATACGATTGGGCATGAAGATTTGAATACATTAATCAGTTTTAATAAATATATTAAATAACTATAAAATTAATATTTTAAAAATCAATAATAATTAGAAAACATTTGTTTTAAGGAGTACATGTAGGCAATCTTGTATACAATAAAAATGTTTTGGTAATAAGGGAAAAGTATTCATTAATGCCTAACCTAACATCATAATAATCATCAAGTACCAACTAGTAACTACTTCCATTCACTGAAGAGGAAACTGTTATTATAGGTAGAATAGGTACCAATATATTAATGTGCAAAAAGTAATAAAAAAAGTGTTGTAAGAAAATAACTTAAAATGACAAAAATATGCATCATCAAGTTATTGGATTTAGATTTGAAAAAAAAGTTTGTAATTGTGGACTAGATTCCTTGAGACGATAATATACAAGTTTATCATTTTTCAATTAATCATTGTATTATATATTATTTGGAACTGTAGAATTTATCAACAATTCAAGACATTTTAAAATCAATTATTATCACACGTTATTGTTAGATAATTGAAATAAAAAGAAATTGGTATGTTTATAAAATAATGTTAAATACCTGAGTTACGGAAGTATCTCCTTAGCTCATAGTTTAAAAATGATTAATATATTAAATTTTTGATTAAATTTATTTACATATAAATATATATAAATGTATACAATTTTTTTTTTAAAATATATTTGTAAGTGTATAATGTACATTAATAAAGTTTATTAATTTATTATTTCAATTTTTATTTTTTATATTATTATACTTGTATTTGTTTAGCTTGAAAAAGCAGTTGGATACGATCGCAGGAGACGAATAAGAGCCCAAATTCGAGTAGTGAAACGTCAATTGGAGACAAACAGTGGAAAGGCAACAAATACCACAACTCGTGTAACAAAGGTAATTTATTTTATTTCATAACTTTATCAATATATTATTTTTTTGTTTGTTAAAATTTGACTATAGAACTTTCAAGATGTTTTGCCAGTCAAGACACAAAAACAAAGTAACGTAACTGTACAAAAAACCGAGTATGTTAAGAAGGCTGAAATTAAAAAGGAAAGAAGTGTTTCACCTCAAAAATCGTATGCAAACCCAATTGGAAATTTGCGATCTCCTTCACCTCAAAAGACTCTTAGGTCAGTTGTAGAAACTCGAACACCATTATCTACACAAAAAGCTGTTCGAACAATTGAAAATGAACGATCTCCTTCTCCTCAAAAAACTGTGACATCAACTGAGAAAGTTCAAACTCTTTCATCTCAAAAAGTAACTCCTATTGAAAAAGTCCGATCTCCTTCACCTCAAAAGAGTACTCCAACTGAAAAAGCCAGATCTCCTTCACCAAAAAAAGTGTCTGTAGTCCAGCAACAACAAGATTCGCGATTCAACAAAAATGAAAAGTCTTCTAGAAACTCTACTATCACCTCTACCTCAACAACAGTCACTAAAACTACCAAAGGTAAATTTATAATAATATTATGTTATACTTCATACATATCTTAGCACTTAAAGGTATGAGGGAATATTTTAATAGCTCAATATTTATTATAGACAATAGACTAATGTATATATGCATGTAGGTTGCTCTGGCGTAAATTAGGTTCCCACTTTCCTCCCAATACCGACATAAGTAATGTTAATGACAGATGTCCAATACCTAGTTAGGTTACTATTGCTATTAATTATTAATTAATGCTAGCAGTTAAAGTTTTGCTAAAAAAAATTGTAAATCTACTTAACTTATCTAATTCAAGAAGAATGAAGATTGTCGTATACAATTAACTATATTGTATACTTCTTATGTGAAAGTAAAGAAAAATCAACATTTTGTGGGTAACACTGTGGTTTAAATTTTACTTTCTTGATAATATACCGTTATTAAGAACTATAAAAAAGAAAAGATATTTTAAAAGAAAATAATGATTTATATTGCTGAAAGCAATCTGGAATTCAATCATGTGTAAAATTGAGTTTTAATATATTTTATATTCTATGTATAGTTTTGATCAATTTACTAAGAAGTACAACAATTTAAATTAATCCAAAATAAATACTATATGAACCATTAAACATGATTCGTGAACACTTAAGTTTTATTTTAAGTAGAATAATAGTTTTGAGGGTGACTAAAAATAATATTATGGAGTCTGCTTAGTTAATGCAAATGTATTTATAAAAATACCATAGAACTCAAAAAATTAATATATTATATTCAATCTCAATTAAATATTTAATATTAGTCAATATCGAAGAATTAAGTGTGTAAGTATTTGCTGTAAGATAAAGTTTTATTTTGGTAACTATACGTAACTCGTATATAATATTATAGTATAATAATTTAATGAATTAAAATTGTAAATTGAGCTTGGATACCTACATATTTTATGTGTATCATAGGGACTAGGCCCAGATTACAACAATTTTAACTAAACATGTAGACTATTGGTCCAAATAGATTTTATTCTTATCTTCATTTATCAAGAACTTTTATCCAGGAGAGTTTCTTTTTCTTTTTTGAAAGTTGTCCAAAAAATATTTAATTTTAATAAATTATTTAAAAAAACTTTAAATCGAATAGATATAAAATTGTATTTCTTGTCGCTAATTATTGTAGTTATATTAGTATATTAGAATATTAATATATTACCTACTTATACTCAAAAATATTCATTAATTGGAATTTTACTAGTTTGGTGGGTATACAATTTTTACTTTTTAAACGAGAAGATGATACATTATTTGACATTTGTTTCATCTTACATTCAGTCGTGCAGATGTAGGTAATCGGATTTTTTACACTTTTGTGTATACAATGTACATACTACATATCAATTGATTATCAAAAATGATCGAGGCAAAATTTACAATCGACTTTTTTACCTAAATACAAGTGTGAAGAGCTTAGTCTACTTTTACATTTCTACTCATAGTAAATACTTCGAACAAATACAAATAGGCATGTTATCATCATCATAATTTAAGACAACATATTTTGTTATATTTTAATTATTCACCATGTTGAGAATAAACTGAAAATTAATACAGACAACCAATGTGAAGGAAGGTACATTTAATAAGTACTAAGTATAGTCACCTATATAGTTAGGCATCTAATATATGTTACAAATTACAATAATTAAATCTATACATAGTTTTTGTACTCAAATATAATTATAGGCACTAAATTAGAAAATTACAAGGACAAGTAATAAATGTTAAAATGTTAAAAAAAAATTGAGCAAACATGACGTGATTAAATGTATATTTAAAATAATAACGACCATGCCAAAAAATAATTCGCCTGCAGATAACAATATTTTAAGTAGATAATATTTCTACCATCACCAAGTTTATTTTATTGGAAATTAGTTTAACGAACTATTTAAAAATTTAAGTCTTGTATCAGTATACCGTATAGTATATAGTATGATGTTTCGAAAACATACAATAAAAATCACTTTTGATCTTGTGAGTTGTAGCATTATTTTCCTATCACCGGAGGACGGGCGAGGATTCTCGGTGTTAGTAAAACGGAGGCACCACATATTCAAAAATATAAAAATACTGAAGTTGGTGTGCCGAGGCCCGGTAGAATTCTGCAATTTAAACAATTGATACCTATTTGATTATTACAAATATAACATATTTAGAGATTATTTTATTTCATTGGCTTCCGGGATCTTTTTGAAATTTAATTACAGTACATTTATATGTAGGTATATCCAACCATTAATTTACGGAAAATCAAATGAGAAATTGTTGCAGCCAGCCGGCAGCCGAAAGCTTTAAATCTTCCTAGCTTGCTGTTTTTATAATTTAAGCAGTCTGTTTAGAATTGAATGCATTTCAAGTTGTTGAAATTATTTATTTATTCTACTGAAAACAGCTTGCCGGAGTAGGAAACACTCCACACGGTGACATATACTGACATATTTGACTGCCTCCGTTTTCCACGAAATACAAATCCGAGTAATATAGAAAAAATATAGCTCTGCATTTCTTTAGTTGTGGAGGTTCATCTACATACTAGGGTAAAAATATTAGTTTATAATTATTATTGAATTAATACATAGGTTAGCTAATACCTATTTTTAAGACTAATTTAATTAAAAACGTGGTTTATAATATAAAATAATACGAGTAATAATAATAATAATAATAATTGTACCTATATTTTTTAGTTCGTACGGTACACTGTATACGTCGATACACCACATTTATTTTCGGGGATACGTCGTACTATTTTGTGTAACACTATAATAATGATGTATTATATATGTATCACTTTATAGATTTAGCTTATATTACCAATTAAATTATACATAGGTAGGTATATAGGTACCTAACAAGTGGCTTAAAAATAATTTGAATGATAAGCTGAATATTGGCTTTCTGAATAGCAACAAAACTAAAATTAGGATATTATAATAATTGCTATTTCCAGCACTGGCACCTTTATAATGCCTAATATCGTGTGGAATAAAACTACAAAAACGATTAATAATTATTTTGATAATTACTTATAGTAATAATTTGCCCGCGATCAGTGGCCGCCGACGTCATTTGAACACGTACGCATCATAGTGAGATCAAATAGGCACCATCACACGTTCCAACAATTCGGTCATTCTCGCTCGTTGGAAGACTCGTAGGTAATTTAGTGGTACCTACCTAATGATAATAATATACGCAAGTCGTATTGAATATCTCACAGCGGCTCCAATGTGCCACCAACCGCGGCGGCGCGCGCCAAACGTTTTTTAAATTTCTGCCTATACGTGTCCATAATAGCATAATAGGTGGGTACCAGTAGTACTACTTACCTACCATTCGATCACCGGTCATTATATCGTTTCGCACCATCACTCGTCCCAGGCCGTATAATCAACAACTACAACAAACATGCCCAAGTATTATAATTGCCACCCGACTGCATTTTTTTCACATAAATCAAAACTGTAAATACAGCCCATAAAAATCTACACACATGTCCGTATACCACAATATGTACTATATACAGAAATAGTTTATGCTCGTCGGGCCATCGTGCAGCTCCGGCTTGGCTAAAACTTGAACAGACCGTTTATGGACGTGTGTATTTCAAATATTATGTATTACATGGTAGTATTGTATTGGCGTATAGTGTATTATAATATTTTAGGGCTTATTTATACATTATAATCTGTCCGTTTGCCAATAACTGAGAAAATTATGATGACACGTGAGTTGTAGATTTAGTTCAACAACGACGACAGTGCTATTCCTTTATTCGATGTTTATTATGATGCAATATTATAAGTCTGCGCCTTTAGATGACCTGTCTCGCCCGATTTGGACGTTCAATTGTTAAAATGTAAATATTGTCATATTATATTTTCTGTACACAGACACACGACTACACACGAGTCGATTTATTACCTTACACCCAGGTGTAAATATATTGTAAATACTGTAATCGACCACCGACGGACCTGTGTGCTTATAATATGATATGTAGGTACAAATGAAAAATGTGCCGACGATCGTCGGTATTATTACAGACATGCATACGTCTGGCGTGCGAACAACCTGTTTGAGTAAAACCGTACACACGCGCGTGCAATGGGTATGGAGACCACCGTTTAACATTGTGCCGAGTATTTATATAGTACATCTTGTGTATACCTATAATAGTTATTAGTTATTAGGTACACACACGTCTTGTGTCCGTCCCGGAGTATGAGGTTTTAGTGTTATCGGGTTATCGGCCGGCGACGACGACGACGACGACGACAACGAAGAGGACGTGTACAGCGTACGATATAATAATAATAAAAATAATAATATAATTTTATCGGCGTCATTATTATCATCATTATTATAATAATATTATTATATACGATGAGATACGATATACCTAAACGGCGGCGGCCGTCCGTACAGGCCAACCCCCCTCCCCCCACGCACCGCGCCGCGGGGCCGTAGGTTTGTTCGTAGCCGGAGGGGGTAGGAGGGACTGGCGCGCGTGATGCGGTTAGGAGGTCTTCCCGGTTAGGACGTCCAACATGCCACATGCGGCAGGCAATCCGTCACACGGCACCGGACCGCACGTACGCACACGTCACCGCCGCCGTCGCGTCCGTCTGATATTCAGATAGATAATAATTTTATATCGCTTCGTCGTCGACACCTCACTAGTTTTTTTCCGTTTTCAATCTCTTTATCCGCCGTTGGTGAAAACGAATTAATACCGTGTGGATTTCCGCACGTCCGACGACGAGCGATCGGACATCGCAGTCAAAGTGACGAAGAGAAGTCTACTATACGAACGGCGCGGGAATAGGGTCTAGGTATCGCCAACAATTGCGTCCAACAGGTATTTATAGGTACGTACAGACTACTGAATATTATTATGTTGACGTGTTGTATGTACATAAATTATGTAGGTTGGTACAATTAAGTATTGTCTCAATGTCGTGT